AGATGCACATATTAAAAAAGAGGAAAGGGACAAAATCAAAACATTAACTACATAACTCAAACAAATAGAAAGAGAGCAGCAAAAAAAGCCCACAGCCACCAGAAGAAAGGAAATAATAAAGGTCAGAGCAGAAATAAATGAAATAGAGAATAGAAAAACAATAGAAAGAATCAACAAAACCAAAAGCTGGTTCTTTGAAAGAATCAACAAAAGCGACAAACCACTGGCCAGACTGACAGAAAAACAGGAGAGGATGCAAATAACCCAAGTAAGAAATGAAATGGGGGACATTATAACAGATCCAACTGAAATAAAAAGAATCATAACAGAATATTATGAAAAACTATACTCCAACAAATTTGAAAACCTAGAGGAAAGGTATAAAATCCTTTTCTTAAGGAATGAGAAAGTGAAGAACTTTTAAATGCAATAGAAAGTTAAAATACAATGAGGAATTATACCTCACTAAAGTTTTTTTTAAAAAAAATAAGATGAGGATAGGAGAGTGCCTTTGACTTTGGCCACCTGCAGATCCCTGAAGACTTTTATAAAGCATCCCCTGGTAACCACTAATAAACTTAGCTCTATATACATTTGCCTATTCTACATATTTCATATAAGTAGAATCATACAATGTTTGTCCCTTTATAACGAATTATTTAACTCAGTATGATGTTTTTAAAGTTCATCCATATTATAGCATATATCAGTACTTTATTTTTCTTTATGGCTGAGTAATATTCTACCCTATTTAAGTACCACATTTTGTTTATTCATCATCTATTGATGGACGTTTAGGTTGTTTCCATATTTTGGCTATTGCGAATAGTGCTGCAATGAACATTAATGTACATGTTTCTGTTTGCATTCCTGCTTCCAATTCTTTGGCTATTTACCCAGGAGTAGAATTGCTGGGTCACACAGAGCCCTGGTGGCTTAGTGGTTAAGAGCTTGACTTCTAACCAAAAGATTGACAGTTCAAATCCACTAACTGCTCCTTGGAAACCTTATGGAGCAGTTCTACTCTGACCTATAAGGTCGCTATGAGTCAGAACTGACTTGACAGCAATAGGTTTGGTTTTTTGGTAATTCTGTGTTTAACTTTTTGAGGAGCTGCCAGATTGTTTTCCACAGTGACTATACCATTTTACAATCCCACTAGCAATGTATGAGGGTTCCTGTTTCTCCACATCCTCTCCAACACTTGTTGTTTTCCATTTTTTAATCATGGGCATCTTAGTGGGCATGAAATGATATCTCATTGTGATTTGGATTTTCATTTCTCTAATAACTAGTGATTTTGAACATCTTTTCATGTGCTTATAAGCCACTTGTATTTCTTCTTGGGTGCAAAGTCTATTCAAGACTTTAGCCCATTTTTGATTGGGTTGTTTGTCTTTTTGCTGCTGTGTGTAGGATTTCTTTATATATTCTGGATTAAACCCTTATCAGACATAAGAGTCCCAAAAAATTTTCCCAATCTGTAGATTGTCTCTTCACTTTGTTGATAAAGCCCTTTGATAAACATTTTTAATTTTGAGGAGGTCTCATTTATCTATTTTATCTTTTGTTGCTCATGCTTCTGGTGTCATATTGAAAAATCCATTGTCGAAAACTAGATCTCAAAGCATTACCTCTGTGTTTTCTTTTAAGAGTTTTATGATTTTAGATCTTACAGTTAGGCCTTTGACTCATGTTGAGTTAGTTTTCACTTAATTAAAAAATCATAATCACTAGAGAGTCAAAACTATAGTGTTGAAGAGAAGGCCTATTTCCTATTTATCTTTTTTTGCTTTACCTTCAATTTTAGCAGGAATAGAGTTTCTTGAAACATTTTGATGAATGAATATATTAATTAATAAATAAAATTAATAATAATTATTGATATATTTAGAATATTGTATGCATAGAAAGAAATACCTTTTTGATTTGTTCTTCAAAGCTTACAATGTTAAACATTTATACTGAGAGATTATAGAAACACCAAGTGATGGTCTGAAGCTTACATACACCTTAGTTAGGTAATTCATGTCCAGATATTAACTTGGGAAATTATGGTTTTAAATTCTTTGTATTTTTATCAGATATTAAACCAACTGAAATATTGAATTATAAAATTTGCTACTGTAAAATAATGTATTAAAACAAAACTATTTTAAATTACACTTAGCACAATTTTACGTGTCTTATATTAATTCTGTTTCTTAGTTATTTCACAGACCAAGACCTAGAATATAGCTGTCTTCTTTTGACTGCTCTCATTTCCAGTATAAAAATATAAAGGAAAAGGTAGAAGAACAAATATATCAACCTAAACAGTATATGACCTTGGATCTTTCTTTTCCTCCTTGATTATGAAAGCAAGGTTAGCATGTGTACATGTAGGAGACAGGGCTTTAATTTGAAGGGTGGCAAGGTGGCTGCCTTTTTAGTAAATATTTCCCCTACCTAGGAGCCACATTGGCTGAAATTTTACCATAGAATTAGGGCCACGAACAGCACCTAGCCTTTTTTACAAATATTCCATTGACATGTAACCAATCAGCAATCAGTCATTTATTCAGCAGTATGAATTTGTTTACCAGATCAGTTTCTTGACTGTTTTAAGGCAACTTGAGAGTGTTATTAAGGAAATGGGGACTTATATGGGATGACATGGAAATTTAATTAAGGAGTGTGAACTATTGAGAAGAGATTACCTGGGTCCTTCAGTCTGGAAGGGAGCACGGTGCTGCTGAGCACCCAGAAAACAAATACAAGGAAAGGACTTATACCTTCTCTATTCCAGGGCAGTCCTTGTATAAAAACATTTTTTTTTCATTACTCTTAAATATAGTCTTTAAAACCTGTAAAGACTGAAGTTAAATACTTTAAACCAAAACTCTGTATTTTCTTGAGTAATTGAAAATATATTACTGCTGGTATAAAATTATAGCTTCAAAACAGGCTTAGCAAAAGGAAAAATAGATTTATGTACCTAAAAAATTAAACATGTCTTGAGAAGTCTGAGTAAATACCACATTCTGAAGCAGCCAAATGGATGAAATATGTTTGCCAGGCAGCGTGCTCTGACCAAATGGAAATTAATTTCAGAAGGAAGTTGAAATAATATATCTGATAGAATTTTATCCATAATGTAATATGTGTTTTTTTTAATATTGCAGCCTACTGATGCAACAAAGGTTGTCTCTCATCCAATTACGGGGGAAATTCAGGTATGAAAGTTTTAAAAAGTCATCATTATATCATCTTTTTTCACTGTTTTTTCCAATGGTCTAATAAAATGATAAACACTGTTAGACTCTTTCTGCATTATTGGAACTATTCCACAGCACATACAGAACTATAAAGGAAAGTGTTATTTTATAGGATAGTATTTTAATACATATATTATTCTTTATGAGATATATACCTATGAAATTTTATGCTTTGAAATCTGCCTGGCAAGTTGGCAGTGTCAATATGTTTTATGCCTCAGTTACTTTATGCTTATTGAATGTGCAGCAAAAATGGCAGATTCTCCTGAAAATTTGAAGGTTCCTCTTTAAGATTTTCCTCTTTTCTTACTCACTAATTGTTATACAACAGTCACTAACTTATTGCTGAACAATTGCTATAGAGCTCAGTTTTTCATAACCAATTTATAAAGTCAATTCAAGGGATTGTGACCAGAAAAATAGAAAAAAAAAATTAGAACAAATAACCTTTTTAAAAATTCTCTATGAGTGTTTCTGTTTGCGTACTGTACCTTAACATAAAATTGTATTTCTTATTGTGGGTCATAGCCAAAAAATGTTAGAAAAACTATGTATTAGATAATTCAAAAAAGTACTTCAGCTTAGATTTAAAAAAGTCATATAAAAGGAAAGAATTAACATAATATAAAATAATAACAATTTGAAGATAGCATTTCTAGATAAGGGAAAGAAGCAGTAAGTCACAGCTGATCTCCAACCCTTTGTAGATGAGATTTTCATGAAAGAGTTCACAAAGGATAACAGAGATTTGAATTAATTTGAGGATAAACATACAGAAACATGAAGTGTGTTCCTGGAAGAAGAAATGGTTCAAGGAAAGGTACTGCTACCAAGAGAGTAATGGAATGAGGAAGATCAGCATTGCTACAGTTAAATATTTCTATAGATATAAGTTGAGACTAAATTAAAAATATCATGAACACAAGCCTAGGAATGTTAGCCACTACATGGTAGGGTGACCTCTTGAGATATTTCTTATGATAATGATTTTGATTATTATTTTTTTTTATTTTTTTAAACTTAATTACAAACGAAAACTTAGGCAGGGACCCAAGCTATGTACCTGCTAGCACTGGAGCTATTTTGGTAGAGGAATGCTGGGGACACTCCCTATTCTCTAGGGAGTCACCCCTGAGAAACTCTAAGCGTTCTCTGGAACCCTACAGTGCAAAATCTGAAAAGCATTCACTTTAGGCAGCCTGCAAGTTTTCATCTCAACAAAAAAAAATTGGTTTGGGTGCTGCATCCATTAAGTGGACTCTAATGTTGGCAGAGAAAGAAGAGAACGAGGGAAAATGTGTCCTTAATTAAAAATTTGAAGTTGTTTGAAATTGCAGTGAAATTAGCTAGAGATTATTTCATATTAAATGTTCCAATACCCTGTTATAACACACAGTTACTGCAGTTTTAAGCTTTTCTCATTTATCCTTTTCTTCTATGGCCATTTGCTTAATGTTTCACATTGCTCTCATGATATTGAGAATGACTCTGGGCTTTTCTGGATTGAGAAAGACAATTGAAGATTAATTTTCTGCTAAGAAACAAAAATCAGATCAAAAATATGCTAGAGTGAGGAATTATTTTTAATTATGAAATTATAAATGAAAATTTGACTCATCTAAATTACTATTCCATTTTTAATATAGACACAACTCCATTTTGTATGAACTATAAAAAATACTAGTATTTGTTTTTATGGACTTTCCCCATTTGAAATATAAATCCCTCCTTTCTGTTAGTTGATAAACAAAACTAGCATCAAATGGAATTAAGGCTTATTTGAAGTGATGGCAAAGAATCTTTCAATTTGGAAAGAGAAAAATTAATTTAATTATATTGAATTATGCAGGCTTTTCCAAATATATGTTCCAATTGTAAATGTTGACTATTCAATGACAATTGTGAAACAGCCTTGAGAGCATCTATGAGGCAATGCCTCTTCTTTCCCCTTCAGCTTCTAAAATTAAAAAACAAAGTTTTATTACTCAAATCTTCTACTGTATTAGAAAATCACGCACAGAAAGAGAAAATGTAGGTTTAACATAAGATAGTATAATGTAGGCAGGGATAAAATGGATGCATTCCTTAATATTCTTACATTTTAACATTGACAGATTGATCTTTAAAAAACATTTCCATACCACTGCTAATTCTTTGGAGAAATTCAAATGACCTTTTCTGACACATTTATCAATTAGTTAATTTATTTTCAAAGTCCCAGTGGTTGTGCTAATGAACATTCACAACAGTTACTAATTTACTAAGAGTAGAAATTTACTTTAAAATCCAAGTATTATTCACTATGTTATTATCCTTCTGAATGAATTTCAGACAGCCTAGGACTTTCACCATGAAAAGAATGAACAGTACCTTTATTAGCAATTAAAATGTGCCTGAGAGCTCCCAATTAAAACAGACATTAACTAGTCTGTTCAGCTTCAAATAAAAAGGAAATGAGAGTTGATGGTACTTATGATATTAAAAAAATAATAATGATGATAAGATATTGGCAAATATTTAATGATAATATACTACATATTTAAAAAAATAACCAAATATGTTATTGTCCCCTAAAGCTTCAAATCAACTATGATCTTGGAAATCTTATAATACATATCCTCCAAGCAAGAAACCTTGTCCCTCGAGACAATAATGGTTATTCTGACCCTTTTGTTAAAGTGTACCTTCTTCCTGGGCGAGGGTAAGTAAAGAAACAATGTCTTCTAAGTATTCTAGAAAATAGCCTTTATCACATGATTTAAAAATATGGATAATGTTTCCTAGACTCTAATTTCAAAGACAATCTTTATAGTTAACTTAATTGAGTTTATTATCCTTTCCTTAACTTTCTCCACATGTCATATATATTTATTTCCAGTTAGTAGATTAGGTGGAAAATACATTGTAATTACCTTTTAAGCATTCTGGGAAAACATCATCGCAATGACCCTGCCACAATGAGATCAAACCAGCATTTCAATTCTAGAAACCATTCCTGCAATGACCAATCAGATTGACTGTGAAATCAGTTAAGTAATTATTTGTGGCAGATTTTAAAGAATTGGCTTAACCTCCCAAATTCATTTTATTTGTGAAACCAATGCTCAAAGACTCATAAGTTATTGTTTCTTTTTATAGGACATGTATATTATCCAATATATTAATGTTCATTAGAAGGCTTCTATACTTATCTATGGAGCCCTGGTGACATAGTGGTTAAGAGCTCAGCTGCTAACCAAAAGGTCAGCAGTTGGAATCCACCAGATGCTCCTTGGAAACCCTGTGGGGCAGTTCTACTCTGTCTCAACTGACAGCAACAGGTTTGGTTTTGGTTTTTATCCTTATTTATAACCATATTTTCAAATCAATGTTTAAAACATAATAAAAAGCAAGTGTAATATTTGAAATGCTGACTTTGGTAGATAAATGAAAAATACTTCCTTGAATCTCTTGTGTGATATATGAGTTGTTTATATAAAGCAAGTACCCTTTGAAGATGTTTAATTTTCACATAATGAATGCAAATTGTTATGTTTTGGTATATAAGTCAGTACTCAAGGGCCATTTCAAAACAGTGATTTCAGACTCTATGGATAATTTTACCTCGTCTGAACAATTTAGGGTAGCCAAATTAGTGTGATAGAACCATAGGGAATCAACAAATGGAGGTATAATAAAAAAAATTCTGAGTTGGTAATTTGAAGAATCTGGTTTTATTTTTTGTTCATTTTTCATATAATTTAGGAAGTGACATTTGAATATTACTTTTTAATTGGAAACTTCAAACATGGTACAGAAATAGATAGAATAGTATAATTACCCACCATATACCTAACAATCAGCTTCAACAATTATCGCTACCTGTTTCATTTTTACCCTCATTCACTCCCCATCCAGATTATTTTGAGGTAAATCTCAGCTATTGTAACATTTTTGCAAATATTTTAGTATATAGTCTTAAAAGAGAAGAACTCATATTTTAAAATAATCATAATATCATATATAACCTAGTTATATATTTCTCTAGTTGGTTTAATGACCTAATTGACATTTATTAACCATTCTACCCACCAGTACAACCAACAACGACCCGTTGCCATTGAGTCCATTCTGACTTGTAGCAACCCTTTAGGGTTTCCATGGAGTAGCTCGTGGATTCCAACTGCTGTCCTTTTGGTTAGCAGCCAAGCTCTTAACCACTGTGCCACCAGGGCTCCACCCACCAGTAACAGAATACATATTCTTTTACAGTGAACATGGAACATTCACCGAGATAGACTATGTTCTGGGCCCTAAACAAATCTCAACAAATTTAAAAGCATTGAAATCATATAACATATGTTCTCTGACTATGGTTTGTTTAAACAGGATCCTAATAGGGTTTATACATTGCATTAATCTGCTGTTTACTAATTATATAACCACAGGCAGATCACCAACTTGAGATTCAGTTTCCTTGTTGATATTGATAGCACCAGTGTAACAGAGGCATAACTTTTAGTTTGTCAGGGGAATAAATTAAAGAAGACTTAGAAAATAATTTGAAAATTGCAAGGTGCTGTATCAAATTCACTATACAGCCTTTAATTTCATCCTTCTCAATAATTTTATTTAGAAACTTAGAATTCTTGGTATTGTTACTCTAGTTTTATTTTACTGTAAGTTTTGAAAAACCCTTGATCATTTTATATGGAGATTACCAACAAATCATATAGCTCAGAAAAAAGGAGTTTTTATTTTATGTTAATTAATTTATATCTTTATGTACTAGTTTTAACTGTAATCTGGCTACATTTTTTAAAAGTGAATATGATGGCACCAGAGCCTTGGTGGTGTAGTGGTTAAGCATTTGGCTGCTAACCCAAAGGTCCACAGTTTGAATCTACCAGCTGCTCCTTGGAAACCCTACCAGGGCAATTCTACCCTGTCTTATAGGGTCACTGTGAGTTGGAATCGATTTGATGGCAATGGGTTTGGATTTTTGGTACAACAACAACAATAAAATAACTTCACTCTGCCTTTGATTTGGGTCATTTGTCTGTCATTGTTATTAATGACAACATAATGAGACAAGAAGAAATCAGTGCAAAGGGTTTTGACTTTAGTTAGTATTTGTTAATGGATGAATGAAAATGAGACAGTGTCATTTATTTTCTATCTTTTCTAACACATCCTGGAGAATCATCTTTTATACTATATGGGAGCACCTATCCTTTATTAACTACAGAATATGTTTCAATTAAAGTGTTGCCAACTAGAATAACCAGAAAGGCAGGCAGGTAACATTAGTACATTAATCCTTTCTGGGATAACAGGGAATAGTGGGGATTGCAGTGAAATAGAGAGTGAGTGTCCTACCTAAAGCCATTCTCATGTAATTTGTCAAACAAAACATGCCTGTGTGGTGGGATTTGGCCCAAAGACAGCCAGTATGTTCTCCTATTCAAGTCCTAGCTTTTTCATTTAATTACTACTAATTATTACAGTGTCCAAGAACTTGTGATTTGTTTTACATGTTAGGTATTATTTTTACATTAGTTCTAAGGTTATTTTCTGTCTCATGTCATTTATGGTATACCAAAAACCAAACTAAACACGTTGCCATCAAGTTGATTCCAACTAGCTCCTCTAATTATTATTCTTATATTTTCTTCCTTATTCTGTTCCTAACTTTTTTCTTCCTGTCTTTTCTACTTTCCTGTTGTATCCTTCACTCTTGCTCTCGGAATCAATGCAGTCAAGTCATGGTTGTCCAGAATGCAAGGTAGAGTTGGTTATCTTTCAGTGTTAAGCTATGCCGTTATGTCTGGAGTTCTACGTTTTACGTTTTTATGTGCATTCACTTGCACTTCAACTTGAGTTGTAACTTTTATTTTTTCTGCATTTTACTATCTGTTGAATTAGGCTATTGAGTAAATTGTTCTGACCTCAACATTACTAAATAAGCTTAGCAGATGTGTGCAAGAGAACACAGAAAAGCAGAAAACATTAGAAACATAGAAAAATGCAAAAGAAGAAAATAATATCACCCTGAAATTCCATCCACTGCTGTCAAGTGGATTCTCACTCATAGCGACCCTGTAGGGTTTCCAAGGCTATAAATCTCTACGGAAGCAGAATGCCACATCTGTCTCCTGCAGAGCCACTGGTAATTTCGAATTGTCGACCTTACGGTTAGCAGTCGATGGCTTAGTTTTCATTTATAATCTGTCCATTTATCCTCTCATGTAATAATCATGGCTTAACTTGGCTGCTAACTAAAAGGTCGGCAGTTCAAATCCACCAGCTGCTCCTGGGGGCAGTTCTACTGTGTCTTATAGGGTCGCTGTGAGTCGGAATCAACTCAATGGCAATGGATAAATTCTCCTGGGTCTTCTATTACAAATAAAGACATCGAGAGTTACTTTTCAAAAGGATTTAAGTGATCTCCTGGATGTCTAGTACTAGGTGTGTATCTCATCTTAAAGACAATGGGTGTCTGGTCTTTTTCCTTCGTTTGGGCCTGACATTGAAACAATTCTGTGCCTTTATACCTGCTGCACCACAAAGTTATTGCTATGCCATATAAGATGCCATATTATGCCTGCTTTAGTGCATTGGCAGCAACATATGAGCACCCTCCTTTGTTTGACAATAGTGGGAAACTGTTATCTGGTGTAGCTTATAACATGTGGTATCACTGCATTGTCAAATAAGGCTAGTTCATAACACATAGCCAAAAGCACTTTTTGCATGTCTCTTATTTGCATTACAGATTAAATGTGTTATTTGGTTGAGGAGGTAAATCATGTGCCATCTGTAGCAATAGGGTGATGAGAATTTTAATCCCACCCAGAATAGCAATGATACAGCATTTGCTTTTGTATGTGACAATAAAATTTGAAATCTCTACTAATCCTGGCAGGCTATTGCCCAAAAGAGGCAGTTTCTAATTTCTAAAGGCATAAATATTTAAATATATCAGTGAACAGGATTAGTCACCACAGGCTTTCTAGTGCCCAGAAACTTTCCCTTTCCTTACAGCCACACAATATGGCAAGCAGTGAGTTTTGACACTGTAATGGGTACCTTATTATAACTGGCTCTCTCATCATGGGATGCCATCTATGTCTCTTAGACTGATACAAAAATTACTTCTGTTTCAGAGAGATAGTGTCATTTTATAACATACATTATCAATCACATTATTCAGAACCTCCCTGTCTTTTATCCAGAGAAACTGGAGGGAAATTATCAGACTGACAGTGATTGCCTACATTTAACTTAGACAAGAGCATGTTTTGTAAATACAAATAATTGTTGAAAGAGTATGGGATGTCTTGGATTATGATTTAGAAGATCAGAAGTCATTTCTTATTATATCTTCAAGAATTGTCACTGTGAGAGGGAATTATAATGACAAGGTGCTAACGATATCAACACATTGTAAGTTAGGCTTTGGAGGCCATAGAGCGAAGTCATGAAGAACTTGGGTTTGAATTTCAGACCGGCCACTTTACAAATTATCAGAGTTCTCTAAAACTGTTTCTTCTGCTGCTAAATAGGAATAATCATAGCCTCCCTCCACAGTTTTTGTGAAATAAATGGCATAATATATGGAAAATGATAAGCATAAAATCCGTGACATAATATGCTCTCAATAAATGGTAGCTGCTATTATTCTTGTTAGTAATTATAATAAACAATATTTAGTCAGTGGTGAGTTATCTCTGCAAAAAGGAGATACAGAATGCTTGGGCTACAGAATTACAGGCAGTCCTCAGATTATGAATGAGTCCCTTTCCTAAATCTGTCTTTTTAAGTCGAATTTGTACATGAATTGGAACAGTTAGGTATGGTTCTTTAGTTAGTCAAAAGTTTGTCTTAGAATATAGTATGTAGTGTACCTTTGAATGTATAAAAAAAATTAAAGGAACATTTCCAGATACACTAAAACATCTTTAACATAAAAATACAGTAATAACAATAATAATGTTTTGATGCACATCACAAAGTAGCATCCATTTGTTATTACGGACAATTATATGTACCTTCTCCATGGTTGAAGAGATATCTACAGAACAAATGCAACCCAAAATAGTCAGAAGATTCTGTTCTGTAAAATCTTTGAGACCAATCAGATACTTTATTGTAAATTCCAAACTAAAAAAATCTATGTTGTACCACCCAGCTGCATTTCTGCTGAGTTTTGAACCCTTCTCAGCAGATTCAGGGAGGGTTGGGGGTGTGGGTGGGATGGTGCTGGAACTAGACAGATCATTCCCCCAATACCTCCTCACCAGACCTGTCAACCCCATGCACCAACTACGAGGCCCCTGCCTCCGGGTGCTAGGGAGAAAGTGCCGCTTCAGGATGTGCTAGGAGTGAGCCAGGGGCCCAAGGCTTGGGAAGAGGATCCTTAGGGAAACTCATCTCTGAAGTTCTCCATGGAATCTCCCGGAAACCATACGGACCTACAGAAGTCAGGAATCTAAGTCACCAAAAAGCCAAGAACCCCTGCAATACTGAAATCCCACATGTGTAAGGTAAAGGGCATAGAAGCCCAGAGAGGTGCTGCGATGGCCCTGGGCTGTGCAGCACGGAGGGCCTGGTGGGATGGGGTGGAGTAGAACTGGGTAAGGGGGAGCTACGGAGGCCCAGCTGTGCCCAGTGTGGTACATGAACGATTGCACTTGGAGAACATGTAGAGTGTGGCACCCACATCCCAGCTGCCAGTTGCCACCACCTGCCAGTTGCCACCACCTGCAGGCCCCCATGTGGAGCAAAGCGGTGCTGCTTGGGGCCCGCGGACAGTGGGGAAAGCCCTTTCCAGGCTTCGAGTGAGACGGGTGCACATGGGCTACTCGCTCGCTTCTGCAGGCTGGGGCTGCGTGTACCATGTCACAGGGGCCTGTCTGCTGCCAACGGCAGCACGAGGACCCACTGCAGCACCTGTGCACGCAGAAGTGTAGCCTGTCAGGGGAGAGGAGCAGGGGCAGGGGCGAACACTGAGTCAGTTTTTTCCTGATAGGCTTTATGGGGTTGGTTCCTAACTATGGTTGTATGTAAGTCAGATGTTCATAACCCAGGGACTGCCTGTATTCCAAATTATTTAATGCCATAGAGAAAAACCAAACAATTTTTATTTAATAGTAAAATGTTATACATTCTTAAAACAAAGATATATCCGGCTCCTAACAGATGAATAAAATTTTACAGTGGTCCAATTTTATTTATTCTATTAGTTTCCTCTTCCCACCCTTTGATTAATATTTTCCTAAACCCTAAAAGGGCAATGTCGAGTAAGATGAGGTGCAAGAAGACAGGGAAAAAGCTTCAATAGTCCATGAAGCCAATACTTGGCCCCTGAACAATTGAGATGACAATTAACATATCTGAGGGATCTCTTTCTGGTTTTTCTCTCACCATACTGTTTGGCAAAGTGCAAATGTTTTCCTGTTAATAAGTATACAATTTTACTTTGATTAAAAGTAGTTTTCGCTATCAAAATACCTGGAAGCCCAGTCTCTACTGGACTTTCTCTCACACCCTTGTTAGAATATCAAACTACTTCTTCTATCTAAGTCAGGTATATGTGTGTATATATTTAAAATATGAAGTTCAAAACTTAATGAATTTTAAAGAAAAACAAAAAGTGCAAGCATGTGTTAAGGATCCACTCAACAAACATTTATCTATCACAATCTATGTGCTAGGTGCTGTGGTTAGAACTGACAACACAACCATGTCCTCCGGGAGCATGGAGACCAATAAAGCAACAAACAATAAACACATCATTGCCCAGATAAACAGAGCTTATAAAATGAGATGTACCCTATATATATCAAGTCCAGTAAAGGAAAACTAAATTAAAGAATCAAGACCTTAAATGTTTTACATAATTCTATGAAAGTTCCATACAAAGAAACTATGATTCCCATTCATTCTGCAGAATTTTTGTTCAAGATTTTGTTTCCAAGATTTATCTATCTTGATATATGTAATTGTATTTAATTCATTTTAACTATTGCTTACTGAATGAATATATCATAACGTACTTATTCATTCTCCTATTGGCTGCGTACTATTGCAAACAATATTGCAATTAACGTTCTTGAACAAATTTCTTGTACAGGTAGGAGAGTTTCTCTATAATAGAAGTGGAATAAGTAGATATGGCATTTTCTGGGTGGTTGGGTATATGAACTTGAATTTCACTAAATATTGACAAGTCTGTCTGAAAGGCGTGTATACAAATTTCTATACTTCATCAATGGTCTATGAGATTTCCTATTTCTTTATTTCACTGCCTATGTACTTCTCCAAAATTAATATTTGCAATTCATCTTGTATGATAAAATTGTGAAACCCTGCTTTTATATATTGTTGTAAATTCAAATGGATTGGTTAGAAGTGAGAATAGTGCTGTTTCATTCTTTAAATTGAATTCAATTAACAGTGGCTCAAATATGAGGTATTATGAAACTCAAACACAGTAAATCTCAATCTTGGTTGGCAACACATTAGATTTACCGAGTAGCTTTTGAAAATCCCAATACTCAAGTCTACCCCAGACCAATTAAATCAGACTGTCCTTGAGGTTGAGGAGGATTCAGATCCCCTGGTGATCCCAATAGGCAATCACTGTTGAGAACTCCTGCCCTTGCACGTAGTGGGTAGGAGAGAGACTAAAACGAGAGAGGGAAGACAGCACTTGACTATAGGGCCACCTCTAAAAGTGGGCAGTGAACTGGAGTTTGATTTTCAAGTTTTATTTAGAATAAATGACAATACTAGGCATTCTAGGATGTAGCAACACTTGAGATCAGGAATATAATAGCAGTTAGTTCTGGCCCTAATTTGGAATAGAATGACAGATTACTAGGGTCAGGATTCAGTCCCCTCAGGCAAAGGTAATTTGTGAGGTGCAGACAAGTGTCAGAACTCCAGACAAGTAGGTTGGTGTTCGGGACTCCACCAGACCTAAAGTGTTACCTAGAACCTGATACATAAGCTTAATAAGAAAATCCGGAAAATGGCAGTGAGGGTTCGAGAAACGCCTTGTCTGTGTGGGCACCATTGACTAATAGCAGACAGCAGTAATCTAATTTTGACTCCATTAGCTGGTAAGTGCCAGATGTTGATATTCTGCCAGGCTTGATTAGGACAGATTTTGGAAATAAATTGCCTTTTAAACATGTTGGATTTAAGATTCTGACTTACTCAGAGGGGATCGAATAGTTAGGGATAAACTCAAATGGCTCAAGTTTTAATAATGAGAAAGGAATTAGGTTTAGTTCATCATTTATAATAGGCTATTGGCATGAATCAAGAATTTATATTTAATTAAAATCATCTTATAGGTAGATTAAATACTATACCAAGAATGTCAGAATATACTTTTAATATAAGGTAAAAAATGTTCACGAAATCTCAGCTATCACAACAGCCATTCTTCATCCATTTCTCAGTCAATAACAATTATTGCAGTTTTTTATAGCGAAAATTGATTGAGAGGTCGTCTAGCTTTGCTTACATAATTAGATGTTAAACTATTGGGAAGGTAAATACTAAATTATTATTTGTGGGACAAGAAGACATTAATGTCACCATATAGTTCATGTAATTATCTCATGCATTCAGGAAAGAGTAACATTTCTAAAATTAAAAATATAGTATAGTTAGTAGAATACTTACAAACTTTGCTTAAAAAAATAGGGTAAATAAAACTAAAGACATCACATATTTTAAAATTGTCATTGTGCATTCAGTTGAAAATAAGTTTTAAGACATGAAGACGATGAGATGATTGTATAGTTATTCAGAACAAAATGTTATCTTGGAAAGTCTGCACGCCCTTCAGGTTGGTGCTAAAGTCATCAGTTAAGGTAAATAATCAAGATAACTGTTCCTTCTTTTCTTCCAATTCAGTGCTGAGTACAAGAGAAGGACTAAATATGTTCAGAAAAGTCTTAATCCTGAGTGGAATCAAACAGTAATTTATAAAAGTATCTCCATGGAACAGGTATGTAATAATTACTTTCTATGTGACAGATTTAGGCTTATATATGAATAGTGATGGCAAAATTATTGAATGATTGGAATCCATATCTCTTTTACAAAAAAAAAAAAATGCATCAAATGTATGTAAGAAATATAGCCAGTGAAAGGTAAAGTTCAAAGATAGATAAAATAAGAAGGCTAGTAGAAAATTTTCTATTGATTATTTCAAAATTTCAAATGCTTCAAATAGACTGGCCATATATGCTATACATTTGGGGAAAATATTTTCCAACTGGCTATATTTTGGTTTTTATAAAGAATTTAAGGAAAAATTAAGATTCAATGCACAGAAATTTATTTCAAGCGACATTTTAGGATCTCATTTCTTCTCCAACGTGGGGCCTGGCATTGTGGGGCTAAACTGTACAGAAGAAAATAGGCATAAAGATGACTATCATAAAGGGTTATCACCACAAATAAGTGACTCTAGACAAAGTGGCACTAATATACTTCTGAAATTTGCATGTCATAACTTTACATGAGTAACAGAAAATAATTGATAGTTTAGAAGACTGAATACCGAAGGAAAATAGTACAGATAGAACAGGAAGAAGACATCCATATAAAACAATTTATATAAGTTGTCTTTTAAAATGAGGCTTCTAAGTTGTCCTCTGAAAGATTAATAATTAGATGATGAAATTGAAACTAAATATAGATTGTAATCTTGGATTTCAAATGAGTTAAATTCACCTGAAGAAGTGAGACAACGCTCTCATATTTTTTGACATTTGACTGAAACAACAAACTATAACCCAAATAGTTTGTCTAAATTATCCTAGATAGTGTTATAACCCATGAATTTCATGTTATTTAAAGATTATTTATAGATTCTGCTTTCTATTTTTAAAAATGGAGGAGGTGGCTCAACAGGAAATAAATAAAGGTTACCATTTTTCCCACAAAATAATGAAGTCCCTTATGTTCAAACACTAGGCTGGATTACAAAAATCATTGAGCTTTTACATAGCATTTAATATAAGTTCACATAGTTTTTATAACATTTCAAGTATTTTTTACATAGAAGGAAAGGATTCAAGGAAGTGAAAATAAGTGGGCCTATTGTATGAATGTAATGAAAAGTTTATGATGAAAAAATGGGGTTAATGATATTTTGATTTAAACTGTAGCTCAAGAAGAAAACACTGGAGGTGACAGTCTGGGATTATGATAGATTTTCTTCCAATGACTTTCTTGGTGAGGTGAGTCTCTGATTTTCTCTTCTTTACTTGCTGCCATTGTAAACCACCACTGGTTAAAGCTTGATGTACAGCATATTTCTTAACTTTATAAGATAGCCATTTATGGATAATAGCCTTTGGCTGATAGAATTTATTTCCTGATTTACTCTTTGAATAGATGGGACACAACTCAAGAAATAGTTCTCACTCTGCTACTTGATGTATATTATAATGAATTTGCAGGATAAAATATTATTTTGAGAAGAAGATGTATAATGATACCATGAGTCCAAATGATTATGTTAAAGATTTCAGAAAAAAAAACCATATTATAAAATGAGATGAATTTTTAAAAATGCATTTTTCAGGTTGATTAATTGCTATTAAGGATGCATATCTGAAATGATATGACATTTTATATTGTTATTTGTGATTAAGTAACCAGAGAAAAATTTCTCAAAATATCTTAAGAAGTAAAACTGGGAGTAGGAGAAAACAATAAAAATCATTTTTATGTAAATTCACCAGAATGAAAATAGCCTAATCATGAAATCTGGTAGAGTGGTCAGATTTTATGTTTTTTTTTTTTTTTATTTATCATGTTCTCAAAACATATATTTTGTTTAGTTCTATTTGTTTATAGTGGAAGTTATGAAATAATTTTTTTTAAGTAATCATCTCTAAAAATCAAAAACCTAGAAAATATATATCTCCTTATGATAGAGGCTATATTAAACGGTTACATAGTCTGAGGTGATAGGAGGACGTGTTTGGTACCTAGACTCTATGCCCTTTTTTGCTACCCAGACTAGATCATTTGACCCTCACCTGTATGCTCCATCCTGGTCCAGCCACTTGGACTAGTCTTGATCTTAGGCAGGACTACTCCAGGATGTAGGTTACGTCTGACTTAATGTCTCAATTAAAAACACTAAATTTTTGAAGTCCTTCTAATTTTTTGTTTTCTTATGTTTACATGAACCTAGAGTATATATCCAGTGTTCTAGTTTTCACTTACTTTCTGCCTCATTAAATCTGAGATGCCAGCAATTGTAAGATGCACCACAGTTTATGAACTACTAAAAAAGAAAAACTGCCGCCAATTATATTTTGTCGTTAATTGTTAGCCATGTCCCTATTTCAAATGTGAACTGAAGTGTTTTTAAAATAGGAGTAATAAGTTAGTAATTGTAAATTATTATTTTTTTTTTCATTCTATCCCATTTATGAGTAAAATCAACCGTTTTTCCAAGTTGCTAGCCAAGTTTAGGACTAGAATTTTCCGTATAACAAAAGAAAGCTTCACTAATTCATGAAGAGATTTACTTGTAACCATACCTTTTTACATCATTTAACAACTAATTTCATTAATATTCACAAATAGTGTATACAGTTCAATTTAACCAATGCTTATTGAGCATCTGATATGCATAAGACACTATTCCCAATATGGTGGATGATGACAAGATGAGGTTGATGGCCTCAGCATTTTCAGAGCTTCTACAGTATGCTTTGGTTTGGTTGACATCCTTGAGTAAATTTTAGACCATAGGAAAAAAGTACTGAATAATAGCTTAATCCATAAATCTCATTGATTTATTGCACTGTTTTTCAGGTATTGATTGATTTATCTAGCACATCTCACCTCGATAACACTCCTAGGTGGTATCCTCTCAAAGAACAGACTGAAAGCATTGATCATGGCAAGTCCCATTCAAGTCAGAGCAGCCAGCAATCCCCAAAGCCTTCCGTCATCAAAAGCAGAAGCCATGGTATCTTCCCTGACCCATCCAAGGGTAGGAGATATTTCAAGTAGAAAAAACTCTTGTCTATTTGTTCAATTAATTATATTTTGTCATTAATTGTTAGTCAAGTCCCTATTTCAAGTGTGAACTAAAGTATGTTTTAAAATAGGAGTAATAAGTTAGTAATTGCAAATTATTCATTTTTTGTATATTTAATATATTTTGAAAGGTTAGATTATATTAGAAAATGTTTAATATAGTATCATGTAAAGAATGATGGATATGGAATCAGATCAACCCATATTTAGGTGTATAACTTTGTGATCTTCACCTCCCAACTCTCCGTTTTACAACCAGTAAAATGGAGGAGGTTGTGTTATATGGACTATTGAATTTTTTTCAGCTCTCATTCTCCATGGTAATATGATTTTACATAATTCACTGTGTTATTTGAGGAAGAAAATATAAAAATCTCCACCAGATCATTGACTAGACATAATCACCATTATCATTTAGGCATATTCCTTGTAATTGTTTAAATCCCTGTTTTTTCATAGATACAGTCTTATCACATATATGTAATTTTGCATCCTCCTTTTTTATTTATCATATCAAGAACATTTTTATGATGTCATTAAAATGATGAACATACAAAATTTACTCGTCTTTCCTAACTGTTGGACTTAAGTTAATTCTGTGATTTTTAACTGCAATAAAAAATAATAATAATGTCATAGATTTGGTTTGACAATGTGTTCCCATTTGAATGAGCTTTTCCTTTGGGAGATTCATTACAAACTATCCTACAATACAACATTAATCCTCCTCATAAACTGAGTTACTGTCTCTATGAGGTAACTATGTAGCATCTTACCTAGATATACCAAACTATTTATTAAAATTAAATATAAATTTTAATATTGAATCTGATTATTGCTTCCTTGTCTCCTCTTCTCATAAAGTGTGTCAAATTGAAAAGTGTTTCTTTGTACATTAGAAGGGACTGGATCATAAGTGTAAGCATTCTAGGAGATGGGAAACTAAGACCATGCCAGTACGCCACTGAGTCAATGTAATAAACCATTGACTACTATGACTGCGAAGCCCTGGTGGCACAGTAGTTAAAAGCTCAGCTGCTAACCAAAAGGTCAGCAGTTTGAATCCACCAGCTGCTCCTTGGAAACCCTATGGGGCAGTTCTACTCTGTCCTATAGGGTCACTCTGAGTGGAATCGACTTGATGGCAATAGGGTTTTTTTCGGTACTATGAGTGATGTAGATTATTTATGAATGAGTTTTATAGATCATTTATGGATTCCACTTAGCCATAAACAACCTTGTCTTAATTAACATTCTGGAAGAACGTAAATATAAAGACAATATGAACTCCTTTCTATGACTACCATGTTAGCAAATGTGTGATCTATACATTCTTTAAAATTTCCTGAGAGGCTCATTCTACAATCTCCATGTAAAATATGTGTGTGTATTATGTATGTATGTATAAAAAAGAGCCCTGGTGGGTCTGTGGTTAAAGCTATCAACTGCTAACGGAAAGGTCAGTGGTTGGAAACTACCAGCAGCTCCACAGGAAAGATGTGGCAGTCTGCTTCCGTAGAGATTCATAGCCTCGGAAGCCCTGTGAATGGGGTCACTCAAATCGAGGTCAGTGGGTTTGGTTTGGTATATATATACATATATATATATATATGTTTCCCATACGTTTAATCACATTAAGGTATGTTGAGCAGTACCATAAAAGACGCAGAAATACCATAAATCTCAGTTTCAAATTATTTGTAGACCAAGCTTGGCAGGAGGAATGCTGGAACAACGTTAACTCATGTTTTATCCTTTTGTAACCAGACATGCAGGTTCCCACCATTGAGAAATCCCATAGTAGCCCTGGTAGCTCGAAATCGTCATCTGAAGGCCATCTCCGCTCTCATGGACCATCTCGCAGTCAAAGCAAAACCAGCGTCACTCAGACGCACCTGGAAGACGCAGGGGCCGCCATAGCCGCGGCTGAAGCCGCGGTGCAACAACTCCGCCTTCAACCAAGTAAAAGACGCAAATAAATTCCTCAGCATGGCAGCTTAATGTTCATCTGTTGCCTTTCTTTCCTGCTGTCCTTCCCTGTTTGCTTTCTGTTTTTTGCATCCCCTGCTCACTCTGTCCTCTGTCCGTTTGTCTGTGTAAAGAGTATCAATACATAATATGCTCCTTCCTATTTAGATTTTTTTTTTTTTTTTTAATTTACGTAGACTGCAATAAAACTGGCTGTTTCTCCTTTGTTTCCACCATCCATCCAACCTACTCATAGTATTTGGTGGTTGTGTCTGTGATGTTTGCAGGCAAAGCAATGTTGTGCGTCCTTTTGGTTGAGCTTAAATCTCCTTTAGAATATAGGAATTAAAAGCACAATGGCTGCCAGTGTTCCAGGCATTACACCAAAACAACACACACAATCATTAACGGCAGATTAGCAATGAGATTTCAGCATCTGGAAACACACTTAAATCTTTAGACAGACAACTAATGCAATCCACATTGAAGGTCTAGAACCTAGAGAAAAAAGCCATTTTGAGCCTATGCTTAAAAACACTAATAAAAATGCGTGTGAAATGTTGTAGCTTTCCATGTGCAAAACTTTAGTCTTTTGAAAATCTGTAAAGACAATTGTGTTTCTTATATTCTCGAAAAACATATAATATTAATATATGTATAAGCTGATGAGATAAGGCAATGTAGCCTCATTAAGGAGCACAACTGGGTCTGTTCTGATAGATCATACTTTATGTATGATAACAGAGCATTTATAGATTTTTTGTTGGTTTTTTTTTTTTTTTAATCCTCACAATTGAGAATCCTTTGAAAGTCAAGATGTGCTATGTCTGGTAGCTGTAAATCAATGAAAGCATAACAATTGCTCATTCTTAACTGTTGCATTTTTATTTAATTTGTAAAAATTTAGTCGCTTGATGTGTAAAACTTAATGAATGCAGAGATTTCACAAACCGTAGGTGCACTGCCGCTTCCAGGAGGCATTAGCCAGACAGTGGAAACAGACTGCTGTTTTCCCCATCTCCTTAGTCATCATCTCCAAAGAAACAGCCAGTTTTAACCCCCTTAGTGCCATGCATGTGGTGTCATTTTGGCATTTGAAAACACAACTTATTTAAATAGAGCAAAAAAACACTTCTGTTTGCATGTTAACATTTAAGCTGATTCCATCTGAGGATACATACTCTGGGTTTCCATTTCACCCACACTGCCACAGCAGCACATAAAAGCGGTCAGTCTAATCATGCCAGGAAGCAGCACAGACACAGCATAGCAGGAGTCCTCCCCATTCAAAGAACTCAGTCTGATAATCTGCCTCCACCAGCCAATGGCAACAAAGACCAAAGCCAGCTAGCCCTCAGGAAGGTGATGTCTGATGGACCAGTCAAGCCAGAAGGAGGTGAGCAGAAAGGCGCTGTTCAAAGCACACAGCAAGAACATCCCCCTAATTTAAAGCCCTCATCTTTTAATTTTTAGAGATTTTCTGATAAAACATGTTTATCCACTTTTTTTAAATGTGCTTTTGTGGGCATGGCATTTCAAGATATCGTCATCACTTGTAAGTCCCAAGATTAGTCCCATAAAATATTGACGACAGTGATTTGTACCTTTTCTATGCACTGGGCATCTTTTGACTTTTGTTGAGAAATAGATTAACAGTATTCATATTGCAGAATGGAATGCATGCTACTAACCTAATCTGTTTAAGCATGACTACATGACTATAAATATTTGCATTGTGATAAAAGTTGAAATTGCTCACAATTTGAGTTAGTATACCAGTTGGAATGTAGATCGGTTTTTGTTGCATATTATTTCAAGTGTAACTTTTTAAAATTTCAGTGAATTCTGGAAATTCTTAGAGGAAAGTAAAGGAGAAATTGTTAATGCACTCATTCACCTTTACATGGTGAAGGTTCTCGCTCTATCCTACAAGTGGACATTTTCCACTGGTGTTTCCATAGCTGTTAAGTGTATCAGATGTGTTGGGCATGTGAATATCCAAGTGCCTGTGTAATAAATAAAGTATCTTTATTTCATTCATTAACTACTGGGTTCTGAGCCATTGTTATATGATGCAGCTTAAAATGAGTGTGTCAGTTTTTGTTTTCTCGTTTGATTCCTTGCAATATAAAGTATTTATAGTTACTGCTCCATTGCTAGTGAGAGCTGTAATTTTAGAACATTTGCGAGCAGAACAAAGTTCCATGTCAGAAACATTAGAAGATAGATCGAAAATTATTAGCAAATAAGAATATCAGAGCTTACATAAAAATGTAAATAAATGAGTTGGTCTACTCTAGGCACTGCTTCCACTATTACCCTCTCACATATTTGATCTACTTCATAATCTTCTCAGGTTCCTGAATAAAAGAAAATAAATCCCATGAGCCCTTACTTTGAAGATGCAGCTAAACTTGATTCCATAGCTTTATTCAAAAAGAGAAGCAAGGTATATCTATCCCAACATTCATGTACAATATAAAGTTTTCCCCAAGAAAGAGTGACATTTGTACTCTTGATAGGAATCAAACCAGGGGGATTATAAAACTGTTAGCACAATTAATTCAAAAACATATGTAAAATAAATGATTTAAAAAATAGAATGGCAGTGTTTACGCCCTTAAGTCCCTTCCACCCCTAAAACACTTGACTTTATTCTATTTTTGCTATGAAATTAAAATTAAGCCCTGTACCTTCCCATTACATTTCTCCCTATTCCCGGAAAATTTTAAAGTTTAATATACTTCCCTCAGTTAATCAGATTTTTTGAGTTGTTTCTTGAATAAGGCAGGTAATTAAGAAAGTAGCTTAAAATGAAGAAAGTTCTGAATGTGTGTTTACTCAGCCCAGTCTATAGATAATCACTAAAGCACATTTACCCTTAACTAGCTAGCCTTACTAATACTTTCCAAAAATACTTAAAATTCTACCTCTCACCTTTTCTTTCATCAAAGAACTTCAGTTGATTTCTTAACGTTATTCATCTTCTTACAGGAAACATTCCATAATTGTAAATGTCACATCAAATTCTTACTTTATTTCACACCCTATTTTTAATTATCACGATTTAAGTATTATAAAATATCTAAGGAGCCTTGGTGGCGGATCGGTTAAGTGCTTGGCTGCTAACCAAAATGTCAGTGATTCAAACCCACCAGCCACTCCTTGGAAGAAAAGACCAGTCAATTTGCTCCTGTAAAGATTTCAGCCTAGGCAACCCTATGGGATAGTTCTACTCTATCACACAGGGTCGCTATGAGTTGGAATCAAGTTGACGGCACAAGACCACATAAATATTTTTTATATGCTTTTATTCTAGATAAAGTTCTTTATTAAAATTTGTATCAAAATGTTTTTAAATGACTTTATTTGAATAATACTTTAATATTTTCATACATCTAAAACCCTATGATGATTGATTCTTGAAGTCATTCTTTATTGAAATCACAAGCAAAAGGAAAACTAGATAACAGCATGCTTTCTTGTTTAATTTTGTTCTAATAGCTGATAAATTGCCATCTTTTCTATAATATAAATAAAGTATTTCACTACCACTATAGCTCTACCAAGAATATAATTCCACCATGCATTTTGGCAAATACTTAATAGCAAACATGCTATACGATTACATTTATATAAAATGCAACGTAATTGAGTTATAGCTTAAAGAGAAAAACTGGTAAAAGATATAAACATATAAAGATCAGCAACTTCCTGTTCACTAACTTCAGAGGTGTTAATAATAATTTTAAGTGTTTAGATACAAGTCTTCCATTTCATACCTCAGAATAGAGTTCATATTATCTCATCTGCCTTTTGAAAATAATAGCTTGCATATGAACAGTTCTTCACATTGTACAGAGTGTGTTGTCATCCATTTTCTCATTTTATCACACCAGGTGAATGAGGTATCCATTGCAAATACTCTTATCCCTGCTTTACAGATAGCAATCTGTAAGTCAGAGGGGTAGGATGACTGAGCTAGGAACACACAGCTAGACATTTTCACAACTGGCAATATAACCATTGTCTTGTGGCTCCTTGACGTGCTTTTTTTTTTTTAAAAAAAAAATTGACTTTTTTGAAATCAAACTCTTTCTAATTCCAATAAAAACAATGGCCATTTATTTATTTCTTCTTTATCATTCATGTACTTACACAAATGATCAGTAGTGCCTAGAAATGATAGTGGAATACCATCTATAGTTGCTGGATTCTCTTTTCTGATAGTTGGTAATTAAACTGCCATTAATCAACAAAAGAAACATTCCCAGTGCACAAGCCCAATGCAGCAGGAAGCAGGGCCAATAGAGAAGACTGTGTGTACATCTGTATGCATTTCTATCAAGAGTGACGAAATTGCCCTTAAAGAGCTATTCAAATATTTTTTTGTAAGCTTCTCAGCAGATTTCTACTTGAGCCAGCGTAGAATATGGGTCAAGCAAGAATTATGGAGTGAGCCAGAAGGAACTTTTTTTTCTCCTTGTGGGGTTTAGGTGCTTGCTAGGAAACCTGAAGGGAAAGTTTAGACAGATTGTGCACAATCATCCTGATGTCTAAACAACTTAAATCCCTGGAAATTTTTGGTGGAACACAGGCCCTGCCGTTCTAGAAGATGACACCACCAGGGAAGAAAGATATTTTAGAAAGTAAATGTTTAGGGAAAAACACAACACTATCAAAACCAATTGAAGCATTCTTAAAACTTTGAAAATTAAGTTAGTTGACATCAAATATATTAAGTTTTAAGTGCATTTTGAAAAATTCTGAGCTATTTTTGTTTGACACTAAGATTTTAGATCTGAGTTTTAAGTTTAGAAACCGGTATTACAGAATACATAGAAATATCCCTACACTCTGGGCAACAAAATGAGATCAGTTGGGACGGACTAGAGAGGTTGAGTGAGAAAATGAATCAAATATAAGTTCTGTGAGAGAATCAGGACGGGGAGTCCTTGGCGTGCCCGTATTATAGGAGAAAAGCATGGAGCTAC